GGGGAAGGACAAGGAGAAAGAAAATGGGAGGGGATAGTTCATCCTCCCTCCCCTCCATTTTCATATTCCGTCTCTGTTGATGGATCATACAAGTAACTTTGACTTAGTTCTGAATATGCTTGTAAGTTAAGTACCTCCGTCAGTGAAGGAGGTTATGTAGTTATACATGTAAATATTGGTTTGTCTGTTTGTTTGTTGACAAGTATCTGAAAAAAGTTCTTCACAAACTTTGTTCAAAATCTCAAGACCGACATGCAGTTATCCAGGTGGAAAGCGCTGAATACAATGTCAACTAAATCTTGATATTTTCTAGAATTATTATTTTTGCTTCATTCCCTAGCAGAGGCTTGCACTTTTAGTTCTTAAAAGCTCCATGTCTTCCAGCAAGCGAGATAAACTCCTTCACCGTCATCTCATCTAGGTTGTGAAAAGCCTCGGTCTGGGTAATGGCGGTCAGGTGGTTCAGACAGAACCTGAAACAGAATTCTTCAAGCTCCTGAAAGTACATAATAATAATAATAATAATAATAATAATAATAATAATAATAATAATAGGAATGAATTGTTGTTTCAAACATCATTTACTACAATATCATTTCCCATGTGAACCCTGACGCACATGTCCCATGGTCCTCCTCAACATAATTATTACATTTTTTTTTTCAAAATTTACCTCCCTATTCTGATTCAAGTGGACCTCTATCTTAGGTAAAAGGAAACTAAAATCATCAGTCTTTCATAACAACTTTCCAACCAAGTCATGTTGTAAATTATTTTGAGACCAGCTTTTGAAATCTGAGGTATTTCATGATTTAATTTAAAAGGAACATTTGAACTCTGTTATTTTGTGAAATTGTACCTCAAACATACCTTAGCATGATATTTGATGGCGGCGGCGTACAGCATAGCAGCGTTGTCTACAGTTATTCCTTGTCTTATGATCTTTTCGCAGATTCTTTTCAGCTGTGTCTCACAGTACGAGTTAGCCAGGTCCAGTAGGCCTTAAAATATAAATGGGTATCATATTTTTGGTTTTTATTGATTTTTCTTTCTTTTCTATCCCCTCCACCTTTTACCTTCTCTCGCCAAACCTACATTTATCAATACACGTTATGCAGCTGAAATTTTCTAAGTGAAACTTATAACTTCAATTCAAATGAAATTCCTTTCAACTTGAAGAATCACATAGAAAATCACATTTTCATTCAACTCATTTTCAAAATTAAGGCCAGCAAAGGTGGCAAATGATAAGCTGAAATTTAATTGCGTCTTAATACTTCAAGAATCTAAAAGTTAATTTTTCCTGACAAACAATAACAGTCTAAGCTCAAATATTTGAGGAATTCCTAGGAAATAGGTTAAAAAATTCTGGTTATGGACCCTCACCTATGGCATCCTCTGGGGCCAAGTCCACCATGTCAGAGTACAGATACTGCAGGAAGGCTCGGTACACAGGGTACGTGAACTGAGTAATCTCTATCACACTGAAACATAGACCATATACAGTTTATGCAGGAAGGCTCTGTACACAGGGTACATGAACTGAGTAATCTCTATCACTCTGAAACATAGACCATATACAGTTTATGCCGTATTTCTTTTCTTTTGTTAATTTTCTGTCTCATGGGTCCAAAGAAAAGATTATTTGATATATCCCTTGTCAACTAAATTAAAAGACAATCTACACATTTATAAATGGATCTTTTGTTTGGTTTAGTGTATTGGAATGTATTGCTGGGGTAGCGCTAACACTCGCCAATTTAGCCAAATGCTAAAACTGACCGACTTTGGCTAAACAAAATAGGGTTAATTTGACTGATTTAAGTCAAATTTAAACCATTTGTACCAAAAAGTGTTGAAAAAGTAGTAATTTGGCTAAGTGAAAAAAATTGCTAGCGCCACCTCAGTATTATTATTAAAAATGTAAGAGGGAAAATAGAAACCACGTACTACAACTGTGCATGTGATATTGTCACAATACCAGCTTAACTACTAAAGAAATAATTTTTTCTGCATTATTATTTCTAATTTTTTACCTATTTCTTTATTAATGGTAAATTGTTTATTCTTTTTTGAAGTATTGCATTAATGAAAGATCACCGAATATCTTTGAACCAAAAGAATGAAAAGTATATAAAGGTGTTGTTACTTTTTATTATCTTCATCCCAACATGTCTGGAACATAGACCGGAAATGTTCACACCTGGAATATACATAGACACAGCTAATAATGGGCTTTATAGAGGGAGTAGGGGCAGAGATAAGTTCAACCTCTCTCTCTCTTTGTCACCCTTCTCTCTCTCTCTCTCTCTCTCTCTCTGTCATCCTCCTCCCTTCCCTTTCTCTCTTTCTCTGTCATCCTCTTCTCTCTCTCTCTCTCTGCCTCCTTCCCTCCCCCCCCCTCTCTCCTCCCTCTCTCTCTCTCTCTCTCTCTCTCTCTCACACCTCTGCTCTCTTTCTCTCTTCACTCTCACTTTCTCTCTCACAATCACTTTTTGATTTCCAATAGCCCAGCCAACATGTTCTTGTAGGTATGGGAACTATGGGATATCTTTAAGCTCTTAGCAAAATATCAGGCCTGCTGCAAATTTGCTGCAATACTGCTGCAAACTTTTCATTTTGCTAAGGGATATTATATAAAAGTTAGAATGCATTCAACAGAAAATCATGTGAAGGAGTTATTTCTTTTCTTCTTAATTATTTATTTGATAAGGTTCGAAACAAAGCAATAAGATCAAATTGTGCAGACTTTTATAGCACAACATTCCTCTTTTGAGTTCAGGAAATAACAATCTACCTACATGAGTAAATAATTTCTTACCTGATCTTAAGCAAACATTTGTGCACATGAATTTGACGACCTTCAACTAAAAACTTGAGATCACTTGTGTCCTGAAATGAAAACACTAGTGTCTTAAAATGAGGTCACTCGACATCATGAAAAAAAGGTCAACGGGAACTTTGAAATACAAACAGTAGTGTCCTAGAATAAGGTCATTATAGTCCTATCTTAGGTCACTATAGTCCTATCTTAGGTCACTTTTGTCCACTTTTAGGTCAATATTGTCCTATCTTAGGTCACTATTGTCCTTCATTGTCCTTCAATGCTATCTGGACACAGCTGTAACCAATAGTTGAGAGCAGAGGGAAGGATGTTAGTGTGTGTGTGTGTGTGGGGGGGGGGTTTAGATTAAACAGATTAAACAATTTACAGACTGTGGTTAGTAAAGTCAAATCACTTAGCCAGCAAAGAAGTTATGCCAACAGGATTGATCCATCTTCAATGTAAACACAGACGGCATATAGCAAAGGTCTGGGTCAAGTAAAGTCAGTCTATCTTCAATGTAAACAAGACTTGGGGTATAGCTTTTAAACAGACTTATCTCTTAACAAAGGAGCCATTCAGAACAGTGGACTAACTAGACCAAGGGTCAAATATGGCCGACCCACTTGAATACTTCCCCACGGGATATCTATTCCGTGTCTATTAGTGGATTAGACAGCAAGCTTTTTAGTGGGTCACCATATTTGACCCACAGACTAGTTAGTACACTGTTCTGAATGCAACAGTTATACAAGACTAGCATATGCATATCCATTCACTCAGGAACTCAAAGTGCTACCACAATAATATGGAAATTGAAGATTTAGATTTTTTTAAACTCATTCTCTGTGTTTATACATACAGGGTCATCAAAGGCCTTGAACACACTGTCTGGCACTTTGCAGCTGTTTACATGTTCTGAAAGTAAAATAAAAACACTTTGGAAAATCTTAATTTCTAAATAATTCAAAAACTTAATGAGCTCTGAATGTCCCATTTAATTACATTTAAATATCATTATTCTATACATCCTAATTAAATTTTAAAACACAAACTATATAAATAAGGATAATTAACAGTGCAAATAGATACATAAGCAATTAAGGTGACCTTACTTTTTTCTTGAAATATACCTAATTCTACTAGAACAGAAAAATTTGCACAATAGATGAATAAACAACATTAAAATTTGAAGGCGCAACTGACCCAGCTGTAGTGTTCTGCAGGTCACAGGAGGGTGAGCAAATGCTGAGAACACGTCATCGATGGTGTGGAACTTGGTCTCGATGGGTACAGTAATAGACTGCCCCCTACACTGTCCCCACATCAAGACGCGCCCGTTCTGCAACATGCCCGTAGAGGTGTGGTTGTAGTGGCAGGCGGCAATCTCCACAAACCTGAAAAAATTGAGATGGTTAGGATTACAGTTGCCTTGAAATGGCAGGCTTGAGTCTGCAAAAACTTTAAAAAAAAATCACTGGATAAGAGAGGCAACACTGCCTTCTGGGTATGTATCACCAGCTTGGTTAGAGATGTGGTTGTAACAAAAGCAGACCCATAGCTAGCAATTTCAAAAGAGTGGCTCTTTTACTGAAAAAGTGGACCTTTTGCCATGAAACCTTTGTGTACCTAGATCAAATTTTACCCAGAGGGGACCTTTTCCTGACAAAAAGGGGGGTTCTTTCAAGCCCCCCAAACCCTCCCTGGCTACAGGCCTGGAAAGGCTGATACAGGTATCTCCACAAACCTAAAAACACACCAGAGGATCAGAAGGGTGGAACACAAAGCTTTATTAATCACAAAAAGCCTATACTTAATCTGCTAACATCCCAATTCACTAAACCCAAAGTTGGTCATGTCACCATCGATTTTCTCACCTTCCCTTGTCAGTGGCCACCTTGGCAGGAGTGACCATATTGGCTTTGTTCCCCGTCCCCAGCTGTCCATAGGAGTTGGCGCCCCAGGCCCACAGCGTGCCCTCATCAGACAGTGCCAGGGAGTGCGCGTAACCGCACGTTATCTATAAGGGGAGTGCGTATGCATTTTAGGCCACATTCAGAATAGGGGACTAACAGATAGGCAGATAGCCATCTGTGGAGATTATGTGGTCAGATGGCAAGCACAGATTTTAAAATAATTGTGATAACGGCTGTTTTGGTGGTAAAAGAGAATTCATTATATTTCTATGAGTTGTTTAAAATGCATTTATTGTGAAATAAGAATCTCATACAAAGAGTTGCTATCCCTTAAAGATATATTTACCTTGGTGTAACTCTAATGTGTTCTGCTTACCTGGACGATAAAGATATATTTATAATAGAATAAAATAGATAAAAGAGAGATATACTAACCTGATTGATGAAGATCCCAGTGAGTCCAGCCACTCTACAGGGGTTGGGTTGGTTCACATTGTTCCCTAGTCCTAGCTGTCCATTACCATTATAACCCCAACCATATACCTGAACACAGAAACAAACACAGGGGTACAAGCACTGGTTTCATTAAAGTGTTACCTTTATGTGAAGGCCGACCTTAAAAGAAAGTCATTAATCTTAAACTGATACTCAATTTATATGCCCCAAATCCAGAAATATCGTAATAACTGCCACAGTCTTGCTAAGCTTAAATTCGGAGTTCTGTCTCACAAAAGAATATTTCTTAGGCCAAAAGTCTGTCTTAACTTATAGTTTAGTTAGACCAAAATTAAGGTTAACTTCCATTTTAAGATCTGGTAAAATACAGTATCCACATTTCAGTAGATTCAATTCACAATCCAGTATAATAAAGTTGGTTTAAGAAGTAGTCATTATTTTCTTTTTTTAATAACAACAGACAAGATATGACAGAGTAAGCACTGGTCTAAAACAATAGCCATACTCTCTGGTTATTAAAAAAGTTTTTAATTGGTGTTTACTCACATCTCCTGTGTCTAACAAGGCCATTGAAGATGTCTGTCCACATGCAATCTGAACTACGACTTTGGAACCTGGAATTTAAAATAAAAATTATTAAATTAATTGGCACACAAATATAGTTGGTTAACTTTTGAAAGCAGTTTCTATATGCAAATATTTGTTGATTTTCAAGTGCCTTAATGTTAAAATTGTACAAATATATATCTTCACTCTTGATATTTTTTTCAGTTTTCATTTAAGATGATTGCAAATCTGTGACTTTGGACTTTGTCCAAGAGAACGACAGAAGCCATGCATGCGAGGTCATAAGTATCCCATTTATTTCATTACAAAAAAAAAATCCTGACCTTCTCTCTACCTCACCAACTTTCCCCCACCAGTAAATCGGTGTTCGGGCATACGTAAAACATATGCATATATACATGCACACACACACACATTATATAATGTACATTCAATCACCCTCTGAGACACGCACATGCAAAAGACAAAAGTGCACGCACGCACGCACACACACACACACACACAGATATTACCTATACAGGCAGTGACCCTCCTGGGGGTGGGTTGGTTAGTGGTGGTGCCTGACCCAACCTGACCACAGTTGTTCTGACCCCAGGCAAACACCTGGAATGAAGTAGATCAAGACTATAAGACTTCCTATAGGGTAAATTCATACAAAATATCTATTTAAATCTCTCCCCCCCCCCAACACATACACATGCACGTGTGCGCAAACACCATGGAGCACTCACACATGCCTTGGATGAAGTATTTGAAGATTGCATAATTTCCAACAGAGATAATTCATCGAAATTAGATAATTCATCGAAATTATTTCTTTTTAAATCTTTTCCTGGTAGTACCTTACACAGCAATAATGGTTCAACTCTATTACTCACATGTGATTTAGGATTGTTGGGGAAAAAATAGGTAGAAATGACTGGGTGGCCTTAGGACTAGGGTCTTAGGGCCACTTAAGGATATATAAAAAGGGGGGGAAAAAAGCCGATTAAAAAAAAACTTGTCTGATCACAAGGAAATACCCCCCTCAATATGAACACAAACCCCTGGGTCCCACCTCTCCCTCCAAGGTCCTGGCCAGTGAGTGGTGACTACCACAGGCCACCTGGCAAATCTTCTTCCCTATCAGGTTAGTGGAGATCAACATGGGTACTGTGCCTTGGTTAGTACTGCCATTACCTAGCTGACAGTAGCCATTGTGACCCCAGCTGTACAGGTCTCCACCTAATAATAATAATAATTATAATAATAATAATAATTGTGACCCCAGCTGTACAGGTCTCCACCTAATAATAATAATTATAATAATAATAATAATTGTGACCCCAGCTGTACAGGTCTCCACCTAATAATAATAATAATTATAATAATAATAATAATAATTGTGACCCCAGCTGTACAGGTCTCCACCTAATAATAATAATAATTATAATAATAATAATAATTGTGACCCCCAGCTTTACGGGTCTCAACCTAATAATAATAATAATAATAATAATAATAATAATAATAGTAATAACCATTGTAACCCCAGCTATACAGGTTTCCTCCTATATAAAATGACATCATAACAGAATTAGAACTTAGTTCTTGTAATTATTTAATTATTATCAAATTACTAACAATCATTATTTATGATCGTAATTAATAAGAAACAGATTGCTAATTTTTGCTTATTTGTTTTTTTTTTTTTTTCTTCACAATTTACCTGCAGTAATGGATAAGACATGTGGCCCGCTTCCATAAGCAAAGTCCACCACATTCTTTCTACACAGCTGTTCTACCTTCTTGGGTTCCATGCTGCTCTGTGAGTCACCTGTTACCATGGCAACATTGCACAGGGTAATCAAATTTTCTAGACCAAATATCTGATTTTTTTTACTTAGCCACATCAATTTTTTCAAGCCTTGCATGGGAAGCTAAATATCCTAAACATAACCAAATATTATAAAATGATTTTAAAAATACTTTACATTCAACTGATATGTTAACTATTAATGTCAATTAACTGTTTTACATTTTCGGCAATGTTTGTGCCTTAAATGAAAATCTGGTATCAGATATCAAATAACAAATATGTATATTGCTACACACCTAACCCCAAACAGCCACAGCAATTCGATCCCAACGAATACACATCATCGTCCTTGGTCACCATCATGGCCTCATTCCCAGCACTTCCAAACACGCACGCCTGGACGATGCTATTCCTGAAGTCTGGGTCCAGCAGACTGAAGATCGGCCAACGATCCAGGTCCAGCGATGTCATATTGATGGGGGAGAGAAGCGGAACAGCCAGTGTGTTACATGTAAATTGCAAGTCCAGAGGGAGGTTAATGGAACAGCCCTGGTGGCACAGCAGCTGGCAGAGGGAGGTACATGCACCCAGGTCTTGGATGGATTGGACCAGTTAGGAATACACACAGCCTCGGGGCAGCAGGCTGTACAGTTGACATGAGAGACACCTGAATAATAGACAGGGAAAACTAGTACTAGTATCCTCTACCAGGGCCACAGATTGATTTTTTTACTAGATATCCACAGATAATGTTTCTTGCTAAATATGGTCAATCTTCTAAGTGTGGCTGGTCGAAAATGTGCCTGTAATATCTGCCGCCCTGGTATAGGGTAGAAAACTAGTTATCTTAATTGCACCAGGAAAACTAACAATGAAGTTATCGTACTTGGTGGTTCCAACTATCCCTGCGTGGACTTTTGCTGAAAGCAATCATATTAACAGATTAAAATGCCTTTGCCTGGCATTGAGTTAAATACAGAAAAGCTGGTGATTTAACAAATACTACTACGTTGGAAACAAGTATAGAGGCGTGTTAATCTGATTAAATATGAACAATTTTCAACAAACTTTAATTTTTTTAATTTCTTTTTAATTGCAAATGCTTTAGGTGATCTTGGATGACCAAGACCAAGGAGTTGTTTTCTAAAGACAAACTCCCTACCATACCCTAACTTACGTTCCACATGTTTGGACCAATCAAAAAATTAAATCTGGTTAAATTATGTAAAGGCTGTAAAAATGAATGTTTATTTCTGCTTACATTGTTTTATTGTAGCATTTTGGGAAAAGATACCATACTCTACCAGAGATCAAACCAGGGATGCTTGCTCTTGAGAGGGCCCTACCGCTGAGGTATAAAGCCTGGGTCTACCCTGGCCAGTCACTATTCTGCCAAATAGTGGAGGGTGTTTAAAGAGCGTAGGGAATACCCCCCCCCCCTTTAATCACCAGTCACCAAGATTAAAACAGCTCAATCACCAATCACCAAGAATTCCCGAAATATGTTTCACGCAGAATATTGGGTTCAAATAAGGCATCATGCTCGAAAAATAAGGCCAATCACGTGGAATGCAAAAGGTATTCCCTATACCCTCTTTAAAATGGTGAAATACATGTAATGGTTAATACTTATGCTGGACGCCTAGTCATGTAATTCTGACTCTGTAGCTGTGGCTGGCATGTCTAGACGGAGAGGACACACGCGCAACCCATCATATTAACTTAAGGGCAAGAAGATACATTGTGCTGGTAATATTCCATTCGAAGTGTCTTTCAGAGTCCTTTCACTCAGACAAAACTGTCATTCTTTGCACACATAGACCATGACCCGCAATCAATATGGATTATGCATAAGAAGAGAACTTCTCTGAAGAGCCATTCCTTCATCAGATGCGAACTTTTCTCATCATGACTTTAACGCGGGCACCTACTATACAGAATGTACCTATTCACTGTGTACAAAATGTACCTATTCACTGTCTCTCATGAGTCATATCACAAAAATAATCTGACGCTCAGCTGAGTTGGTATACGCACAATAAAAACTTATTAGCGGTAATGCCATGCACTTACTCGAGTAAATATTACTATATACCTTTAGTCATTTACACATACCTTTGCTGATGTAAATTAAACAGCGTGCTAATGCGCCGAAAAAGAAGTTTTCGATCAGTTTTCCTTTCTTTTTGTGCTTTTCTAATCTATCTGTTTTCGACTGTAGGTGTCGCACAAGAAAAGCCCTATTGTATTTTCCGAAGCAAGCTTTGCATTGAGCAGTGGTTGATTTAGTGGATTTAGTTATATCAGCAACTATTTTGTATGTACGTTAATAATTATCATGTCGTCGTTTTTTATTTTTCATTAATCTTTTGAAATATTTTTTAATTTCCTATTTTTCTAGAGATATTCTCAGGTTGTGTTACCCACACTCTTTTCCATAAACTAAAACAAATATTGTCCATATCAGTTTTTTTTTTTTTTAACATGTGAAAAGCAAAGACACACACATAGTGGGTTTCTATCAATGGAGGACTAGGAAAGGAACACAACAGAAAATGCCGTATCTGATAAATTATAATTAGGATTCTGAACAATGTGAAAAATTGATTCCAAAATTCAGGTAATTTTCAATAATTTTCTCAGACACAGGGGATGGCAACATTGCATTTTCGACACCAATTTTCCTTGCTGATTCATTAGAAATGATGTAGCCGCACATGTTTTCCAGATTTTAAAAAATTCTTTTCAGCTGTCTTTTCTGTTTGTATGTAAATTTCATTGCTTTTTTTTTTTTTTTTTTTTTTTGACGTTTGTGGTTATTTATTATTTTTTTACACAGCAAATGGTCATAAAATGATTAATCCATAGGTTCATTTGAAAAAAGAACATATCGCTAATTTGCTTTGATAAATTAAAAAAAATACAAGTTTGGTAGATTCTACATTCAGGAGAACAATTCAACAATGACCTGGTAGGCCAGATAGTACATAAAGACTTCCATTTTCATGTTCTTTGCGTCTTCGGTCATCCACTTTAACCGTGGATGTTCGATCGATAAAATCCATCTTCAAGATTAATGTCAATCAAATCACCCTTATCCTTGAAGGTACAAATATCAATCCACAACTGGCAGATATAGGGTTTTGGTAAAGGGGGGGGGGGGGGGCATAGAATTTTCTAAGAAGCTTCCCTCATTCAGCAAGTGCAAATTACTGGACAAGGACATTTTTACTTTTAAATTTACCGGCGTGGCAGGAATGGTAGTCCGCTAGGAGCCGCAGTTCGTTCCCCATCACTTTGTACAGGTGACATTCGTCCCACATACTAACCCCAATACTCCCAACTAACCCCAACCTGTGCTAATCATATGGGACCTCGGACTTCCATTCCTACGTCTACCATACACTGTACCTTTCATGCCGTTACGTTTGGCAAAGTGATTAAAAAAGTCACGATTTTGCCTCGTTTGATTTGTTTGAATTTTTAGGGGTAGGGTTAGGGGGTGAGTGTTTTTTGAAACTAGGGGGCAGGGTGCACGTGGCTCACCGTACCCTCCCATATAGATAAATAGATATCTGTTGATGCCCTGGGCAGAAACACGTCCATTGCCTTAACTTAACTGAGCAGTTAATGACAATTACCATGTATCAGGCATTTCTTACGTTTTCAGTCGATATTTGTGATAAGAAAAAAATACCGGCGATTTTGTTCGGCATCTTTAATAAAAGTTAAAACGGTTACATCTTTAACTGACAATTATAACAATGGGACACTATACTGTTATAGGTTCAAAATTGAATTTTTTATGAGTTATCTACTGTTTGTACTAAAAAATGGAACAGACATGGAACGATCAAAGTAGATTTTTCAATAACGTTAATGGCAATTTTATCTACCCTCCCCCAGGTGTACTCTTGGCCTAGGTAGCCACATCAATGCAGGCCGGCTCTATACCATGTGTTTCAATACCCTCTACCAGGGCTTTACATATTGGTTTTTCACAGATATATGTATCTAGATAAATAGACAGTCACTTTGGTTTGGGTCTTTTCCGTTTTTCCCTATACAATCTGCCACCCTGGTAGAGGGTAGTGTTTCAGATGGTAGTGTTATCTAACCTGCACTATTAGCATGCAAATGCCCAAGTCCCTTGTTTCCAGAAATAGTAATTAAAATAAAGTATATGCAACTTTGGTACGCAGGGCTAGGCCAGCGACACTTGAGAAAGTCTCAACCAGGTTACCTTGCAGAAAAAAGATGGAAATTCTATCTATCACAGAGTAAGCATCTTAATGGATTATCTTTGACAGTCAACTCGACAAATTAAGGTGCCTGAGCTGCGTAGCGGTGATTTTTTTCATGATTGTATGTTTCGTAAGATCAAGGTGGATGTCTTCATTCATTCGGAAAGATGTTGCAATGAAATGTCGCGTATTTTAGCAAAAGTGATGTTTTTAATTAATGCCGAAAACTCCATGACTCTACCTTTCTTAGTTTTGTCACACCGTAAAAAGAATAAAATTTGAAGTTAAACAGGCTTTGCAGGTGATTGTGCAGAGTCAAGTTCCCTGGGCCCTCTGACAGCTCGGGTGATAGCGTGTTCAGCGTTGAATACAGTGATCAATGTCACACAAATAGTCCATTATCAGGGGCGGATCCAGAGATATTTTCTGACAGTCTTCCATATTATATTTGTTGATCCATCCTCCATTTTTTGACCGTCTTCCGACAGAAAAAATTAGATACCCGTCAATGTAAACTTGAAAATCTGACCGTCTTCCGGAAGACCCAGAAGACGGCCTAAATCCGCCCCTGATTATTGTTATTAACTTAACACATATCACTTAAGTTTCATGTAAGAGGTCTATACTGCGCACGATATGGAGAAAGCTAACTACATGTATCTGCATGCTTAAATAATAAGCCATATTTGGTGAATTGCTCTACGATACACTATACTTGTACATTGTTATCTGGTCCTTTTAACATTATTAATGGACATAAAGATGTGCAAGCAATACGTGTGTTTATTGTCAAAATTGAGTGAATTTCTAATGAACAGCATCGCAGAGAACGTTTTATTGTCTAATTGGATTGAATAGTAAATAAAAAGCCCATCAAATCTATAAATCGAGAATGTGACAAGTAAAACAAGGAAAACCGGATAATACATATTTTGAAAACAAAATAATTTAGCCAAAAATCGCCTAACTTAATCGTCTTTAAAACAGAAATGGTTTGGTTCAGGAAGTATTAATGATAAAGAGAAATAACCGGAAGAGTTTTAGCTTGTAGCAATACTTAACATCAAAGGCAGATTGAAGAAATTTCAATGACAAATGGGCCAGTTAATGAATTTTCTGGTCAGGGAAAGAAAGCAATATCAAAGACTCTCGTCCACGTCCATTACCATCCAGAAACAATGCAATAAAGTAGTTTTTGATAAAGAATGATATATGGGGGGCTGGAAAAGTTCATGGTCGCTTTGTTTCTTGGCTGTGATTTCTGAAGCAAATACGATTTAACTTAATCTTTGGGTGCAAACGTTCACAACGCCAAAAATAGCACGGATTATAAATATATCGATAGTCGTTGTGACAGCAACACCTTTAATTATGTAGTTATGAAACGACGACACTGAAAGCTGGATTATAGTCACACAATAAGCATTACACCCTTATATAAACAATTTTTAAATTTCTGGAAATTTCAACATATCTGCCTTAATTACCAGCGTATACCATATCCAAAACCGTTCATGTCACACCAATCAATAAAGCTATTTCATTTCTAAATTTCTAGTTCTTGCGTCGATCTCGTAATGTAAATAGAAAATGGTGAATTTTACTCGTGGCTGGAAAAATAAGAAACTCAAATCTCTCAAATTGATTTACAGACTATAATTTTCGGAACGGTTTCACATATGGTGTAGTTTGGTGATATAGGAGTAATTGCTGAAATTTTCGGGAAAATCATTATTTTGCTATACCAACACGTAAAGCGCATTTACTGTATGCCTTTAAAAGATTGGCCTCACTCTGTTATCACCAAAACTAGGGCGATGCAGCAAGTTGATTAATTTCCTTTCTTTAAGGCGTATACGAAAACGCTTTCCCGAACCAATTCAACAGTGGACTAATAGAGTAATTTTGCCAACGCTTAACGCATGGATCATTGAAAAACGGACGCTCTGTATTTTCGCCGGCGGTCAAATCGTACTCGCATTCGTAGGCCAAATTGGCATTGTGTGGAAGTAAAATAATCGTTTTTTTTATTGTAGTACCAACGCGAGGTTTGAATCACAAAGTTTAAAGCACAAAAGTGTCAGTCGTAATAAAGATAAGTTATAGAAAGAAATTTAATTTTGCTCATTTCATGGAATGAATTTTACTTATGGAATTTGCAAATGTAATTGAGTCAAAGAGTGCAAGCAAATGAATCAAATCAGAATGTACGAATTAATCTTTTGGAGGACATGTAACAAAAAGTGTTTATTTTCCTTTTCTTAAAGTGGTAAAGCAACGGTACCATACATCTTTTTCCAAAACGCACACTGAATGTATACGCTCGGAAACATGTTTACTTGGAATATACATGTAGAGAGGAATCATCTTACCCTGAGTTTCAAGAGCCATTGGAAACTTGCCTCAATATCACAAACTATGGCTATAGAAGAAGTTCCGGTAATCTCTTCATTTAATAACATATAAAAATAGCAACAATAAATAAAATAACAATAAAAATAGCAATATACTGAGAACAATATCATTCAATAATAACCTTGGCATAAAGACGTTCTTCATGCTTTCTTTGATTTATAGCATGTTATCTGCGGCCATCCACTTCAACCTTGAATGTGCGATCGATCAAATTATATATTGACAGATATGTCTTTTATTTGGTGTTATCTAGTTATATTGTTTACTTTGGAAAGAAAAATGACACGTGACCCACTGTGCCCCTTCCCATGATCCACCGTTGTGAAAAGGGGGCATGCGCAATGAAATCGATTTCTTTGAACAAAGCGGACACTTTGCCAGAAGCCTGTCAGATATCATCTCAAATCATGCCTACATATTCCGACTGGTAAACTCATTATAGTTGACTTAGGCCTACTAACAAGAAATTACCAGAGAAACATCTAAACGTTAAGGCATGCAATGTGCTTTGAATCTTTTTATAGCAATAAAAGGAAAAAAAATA